GGCAGCAGGAGGAGGAGGAGAGGAGGAGGAAGCCACCATCTCCAGAGCCTGTGGAAGTTCAGCAGGAGGAGGCGCAGCAGAGGTGAAAGCACCGCAAATGTGTCGTAACGCTCGCCACGTAAGTGAAAGCGTGACAATAACGAGTGTGTGTGTGTTTCTGCAGCGCCGTCACTCAGAACGGACCGGATTCTCCCAGGGTCAGTAACCTTTAACCTTTATGCCCCCGGCGGTGCCGCACGCCGCACGCTTCACCTTTGTTTTGTATTTACAGCTAATATTTCTTCTTCTGTGGTGTTAAACTGAATCTGCTGCTGCTTAACCCCACCTGTGCAGGACGGCGTGGAGGACGGAGAGCTGGTGAACGGTGTTGCAGAGCGGAGCTCCAAAGAGCCGAGCCCCGCCCCCTCGCCCACCTCTGGCAGGAAGGTTAAAAGTCAGTCGACCACACTGCCCACCAAGAACCGGGACTCCAGCTCGCCCCAGGAGGGACTGCTGCACCGCAAACACGAGTGGGAGGGCCACAACAAGAAGGCTTCCAACAGGTGAGCTCCATGCCCCGCAGGAAGTGCCTCGCACGCAGCTACGTCACCTGACCCGTCACCTGACCCCACTGCTGTGTGATTCGCAGGTCGTGGCACAACGTGTACTGCATCATCAACAACAAAGAAATGGGTTTCTACAAGGACGGCAAGGCGGCGAGCCAGGGCGTGCCGTACCACAACGAGCTCCCCATCAGCCTGAAGGACGCCACGTGTGACGTCGCCTCGGACTACAAGAAGAAGAAACACGTCTTCAAACTCAGGTACCGAGCGCAGCAGGAAGTCAGGTCACGTCTCACATTAAACGCCGCCGCTGGTCGCAGCGTCTCCGTGAAAGTTCCAGTTTGTTTGAACAAATATTCTTAGAATATAATAAAGTAGCCGACATCACAGTGATGATGTCACAGAACCTCTGATGTCACGTGTCAGCTGGGCTCACTTCCTGGTTCTGTTAAAGCTGCACGAGAAAAAACTACAGCTTTGATTTGAGGTCACCTGTCCACACCTGTCGTGGCCGAGCCAATCAAACTCCAGATCTCATTTTTGATGTAATGATCAGCTGATTTTACTGGTGTTAGGTTCATATTGATGGATTGTCATTTATGCTTAGAAATATATAATCAATAGTATAATGATAGAGGTCTGATCCTCAGTAGTCTGCAAGCTGTGAGCCTTCCAGAGTGTTCTGGCACACGCACATCCTAAGGTCATGAGAGGTCGTACCTTCTCTTTCTGATTGGACACCTACTCTGTATCTGTTTAAGTATAAGAGCCTTTGTTTAGGTGGACCGCTGGACTCCTGGCACCGGCTTTTTAAGGAGGCGTTCACAGGGCCATATCTTGACCCACACATACACATACATACACACACATGCACACACACTCATACCTACACGTATGCATAGACTGGTACTCTTTGTTCACATGCATGCCTGTGTAAGATGTCATATGTTAATGGACCAATGCATATTCATGTAACCACAATAAAGAGCAGTGCTACGGGGGTTCGAGCGGCAGGAACAGCGCTCGTCCTCTCCCTCGTGCACGAGCTCAGAGCTCTGCCTGGTGTCCGATGCTTTTGCCGTTGTAGCAGAATTGCCTCTGATTGTTCCAGCAGGTCTGTGCTAGACAAACACACACACAGCGTCAGAGCAGCGTACGCAACAACAACACATGTAGACGTTGTCACACACACACAGACGCACACATGCACACACGCACAGACATGCACACGCACAGACGCACACACACAGACACGCACACACATGCACAGACACACACACACATGCACAGACACACACACACATGCACAGACACACACACACATGCACACAGACATTGTGAGTGTTACAACAACCACCTGACATGTTTTATTGTTTGACAGCATCCCGTTACCATGGTTACTCACCAACACGTTTCTCAGCTGCAACATTAGGACGCAGCTCCGCCTCCTTTGCCTCATTTTTTTGTTAGCCCAATCACAGCTGCAGCCTGCAGGAACTCATGCTGTGATTGGTTGTCAGGGTGAGGGTCGTTCAGACTTCGCCCGGTGACCGTCATTGGTCCAAAGAACGCTGATCACCTGAGCACTTAAACACACCTGGATGTGTATCTCAGCACAGCCGGCACTGTAACCTTTGACCTTTGACCTGAGGCTTGGTTTGGTGCGTTTGTGCGGCTCCTCCACTCACGTCTGTCTTCCTCTCGCTCTTTCAGAATCACCGATGGAAACGAATACCTGTTCCAAGCCAAAGACGAGGTGAGTTTGATTTCCGCTCAGATTCGTGGAAGCGCTCACCCGTGTGGCGTTCCTGCTTAACTGCTTACGTGCCTCCGCAGGAGGAGATGAGTACCTGGATCCAGGCCATCCTGAACGCCGGCGCCGCAGACCGCTCTGACATCCAGGGCAGCAGCCCCGGCACGCCCGCCTCCGGGCGTGCTCACACGCTGCCGGCCACCGTCACGCTCACCACCGAGTCGAGCCCCGGAAAGCGCGAGAAGGACAAAGACAAAGACAAGGAGAAGCGCTTCAGCCTGTTCAGCAAGAAGAAGCAGTAGAGCGCGGCGGCGAGGCGCTTTGGCGAAACCGCCCAGGTGCTCTGACGCACCCATCGCCACATTTACAGGCGCCTCATTTCTCATGGGCCGCCATCAGCCGGGGAGAACTGGAGGCCGCCTCAGAGCGCCGCCAGCTTCCTGAAGATCGACTTGGAGCGGGTGAAACCGCCGCCTCTCTGAGGCTGGCGAGCCTCAGTCCTCCCCGCTGAATGGTTCACCAATCCCAGAGACTGAGGCGGTGGAGACGCGGAGCAAAGGAGCGTTTCGCCAAAGCCCGCCGTCGCCTCGTTTTTGTGCGTTCTGCATTTTTGTTCGCGTGTCGGTCGTTTGGCGGCGAGTCGGAGTGCCTGATGTAACGCCGCGTCATCGTTGGCGAATGAGGCCACTGTCGCCGTGTGCATTACCGGCCGTGACATCATCACTGCATCTCGCTCTTTCTTTGATGACATCATCAGGGACCACACGCTGTTCTGTTATTGTTTGTTTTTTATTCTCTGAAATTTGTTATTTTTCTATTTTTTGTCGTTTCCTCGTCACAGACGCCGTTTCCTGCCGCGGAGAAATTGGACCAACAGTGCATTTCATTCCAATGATTTCTGCTTTCGTTTCTCTGCAGCCATGTTGTTTTTGTCAGACAGCCAATCGCCTTCGAGGAGGTGGTGATTTAGAAACGTCCACCTGCATGCTTCGTCAGGCTCCGACCTGAGCGCGAAACTGCGACTTCCTTCTTTTGTATCTCTGGTCAGGTGGCGTCGGCGAGGGCGGAGGGAGCTCGCCGTCCCGCCGACGGGAGCGAGGTCCAGACTGGTGAAGGTTGCTTGCTCGTCATCGGCTCTTCGCGCCACGCTGATTTCTGCTCTTTGATACCCGTGCTGCCCCGTCACTGTAGATCTATCGTAGCGAACATGTATGGAAGCCCCGCCGTCGTCCTGCACAATCAGAGCTGCACCAATAGGAATGAAGACGCTCGCCGATATTTAGCCGACCTTCGATCATTACAGCTTCTCATGTATGAACCTGCACCTGTAGACTTACAGCTCTCTGTCACATATGTGTGATGTCATTAAAGCTTTTAACCTTTACTCAGTAGCTTCCTGTTGTCTTTGCACATGCTCAGTTAGAACGCGAGGCCCCCCCTTCCCCATCTGTGTCTACCTGTGTGGTGTGTGTGTGTGGGGGGGGCTGGTCCCTGGTTTAATGCTGGGGGCGGTCCCTTTTTAAATCTCCAGGTCCACTGAAGTTTTCATTGGCTGTGGCCTGCAGGTGTTAGAGCAGACAGGTGAGTTACAGATATACTTCCTGCCCAGTGACGACGCTCAGTGGAGGGTTCAGGTAAATCTCGCCTAACGTGGCATGGATGCAGTGAGCTGCTAGTTAAAAACACTACAACCCCCAGCATGCACTGCGGCTGTACGCTGAATCAGACTACCTGCTCAGAGGCGGGAAGCTCGCGGAGGTTTCCGCGAGGGAAACCGGAAGCTGTGACCTTCAAAAGAAAACGGAGGATTCTGGAAAAAAAAATCGGATTAAGCATCAGATTCACTACCGTCCTGCGCATGCGCAAACTGTTTTAGGGTAGAGAAGTGTTTAGAAAGCGTGCAGAGAGCTCAGAGGTGTTTGTTCATCACGGAGAAAAACGGAAGAGCAGGTCACTACTCACTGCGCCTGCGTGCAGAAAACTGCGGGCCTTAATCCTCAGCACACCTGTGAGCGCCGGTTCACACTGAGTTTAAAGTACAGCTGTGTTTTCCCACAAACGTTTAGATGTCTGTGCAGGTAAAGGTTTTTTCAGGGATAAAAGATTAAAAAATAAAAGTCTTTATGTTGTGAATAAACATGTCAAATTCATAACTGGATGAAACTGTGAGATTTCTTTTAAAGGTGCTGATGTGTGCACGCCTTCCTGTCGAGGGCTGCAGAACTGCTGCATGAGCTGCAGTCACGTGATTGGACTCGCACCTGCACGTCGGCTGCATGCGCACGCTGCTGACCAAGTTTCAGGTGGTGACCTCCAGGTGACCTCAGACCAGGTTGTCCATAGTCTGGGAGCTGCTGGTTGAGGACTGGTTGCTGTTGGGTCATTGCGTGTATTGAACCACATAAAGGAGAAACTAGCTTCCTTTTATTTTTGCTTTCAGATTAGTCTGACTTCCTCTCAGCATCTGATGACGTCTGACTGTAAACGTCACAAAGACATTACATATTTAAGTTATACTAAAGGTGAAGTGAATGAGGGCGTAAATAAATGAAAGGTTTTTAAAAAGACGTAAGCCCTCATCGTGAGATAAGAAGCTGAAGCATGTGTGACGTCATGACCTCTCGGGTGTTATTCGTTATTTTTGTGTCTCTTCGTCACAAACGGGGAGAAGAGCTCGTGTTTGCTCCATCCTGCGATGAATGAACGATAAATGCGATGCTATGTATCTGATGCTTTTATTTTGAAGGTGACCGCGGGAAGCACGGGGTTTCACGGTTTCCGGCTTGATGCTTTCGGCGGTCCCGTTAGCGCTCCGTTCTCGGGTCGCCGTTTTTCACGGTTTTAGGGCTGCTGGTGACCGGTGCCCGAGCAGGAGCGCCGGTGCAGGCGGGTGTGGACGGTCGCGGGTAGATGTGCGCAGTAATCTGCGGATCGGCGCAGACGGCGGAGGATTTGCTGTGATTTAAATCTGCGCCTGACGGACGGAGGCCGGGAGGAGCCGCTAACGGTGACCCGGTCCGGTCTGTGTGCTGCGGGTCGGAATTAAAACGCCCACAAACAGCTCGAAGTTGAATTTCCGGGAGTGTCTCTGAGGTCGGACACGGAAGCTGGAGTCGTCAGGGTTTAGACCGCCGCCGTTTATTTTGTTAAAATACACAAACTCACTGTTGAATTTTCATCAGCTGAATTTCGTCTTTATGATTCTGAAATTCTGTGATTTTGTCTCAGGTCGTCTGAATTTAGCAAACATTGATTTTATCTCACTCAGTTTATTCACAGTCGTTCAGGTTTCATCATAATAAAATCCACCTGAGCCCGTGAGCAGGTGTGTCAGAGGTTTTTCTGACTCCACTCGGGATTGTTACTGTGGAAAGCGCAGAAGAAGACCCTTACAACCTTCCTGCTGACACATTAGTGAGCGGTGCCAAAGCTGCCTCTGGAATCATGGGAAGTGTAGGCAAAGAGACTACAGGGATGGACGGCAGTTCCTGGCAGCGTTAGCGGCTCCAGCAGATGATCATTTCTCTCAGACGGTTTTTCTGTGGATGTTCGAGTTTGCAGGTTTGAGCAGACATGTCGGATAAAACGGCGCCGCGCTGCCAGCTGAGGCTGGAGTGGATCCACGGTTACCGGGGCCACCAGTGCCGAAACAACCTGTACTACACAGCTGGGAAAGAAGTGGTGTACTTCGTGGCCGGGGTGGGCGTGGTCTTCAACACCAGAGAGCACACACAGAAGTTCTACCTGGGACACAACGATGACATCATCAGGTGAGGAGGAACCCTGTGATGAACTCTGACGCCGTGCAGGCGGGTTTTAGGATCTAAAGGTTGGTCCATCAGCTGCTGGATTCAACGTCCAGAGAATGTTCAGTTAGAACCTCGGATTCAGTGACCGGTGTGGTTCTCGCTCAGGTTGCAGAACAGCTCTTGGACTTCTTGAGCAGTTTGTCCAGCTGATTTGACCGCTTTCTGCGGGGTGTCCTGTAGGGGGCGCTTCAGGAGTGCGGGGTGTCCTGTAGGGGACGCTTCAGGCGTGCGGGGTGTCCTATAGGGGGCGCTTCAGGCGTGCGGGGTATCCTGTTGGGTTCACCTCACGATTCTGGTCTCATTTCTGTCAGAGATGACAGTATCTGAAAGCGGATACAGATGATGAAGGATTTTGGCTTCGATGGTTTCTGGACCTCGTTTCGGTTCTCCCTCACACGACCTCCTGCACACAGAGGTCCTGGCCATCGGCTGGAGGAGGAGTTTAGGTTTCCCAGGGTGGAGCAGGAGGTCGACAGATGACTTGAAAGTGAAGCGATCTGTTTACTGCTAGATCTACGTACTTGTGCTCACCTGTGACCACAAGCTCCCTCTGAAGGTGTCTAGACTCAGGCTCAGAGATCCTGTGAGGGTTCGGTGCTTCAGGTAGAGCTCAGAGTAGAGAGGAGTCTGGACCCTCCTGGGGAGGTGTGTCACCTGGAGGCCCCGGGGCATCTCGGCTGGTTTGGGAACATCTTGGTGTACCCCTGGAGGAGCTGGAAAGCGTTTCTGAAGCTAGTCTGAGGATGGAAATTGGACGTAAATACTTAGAATGGCATTCTCTCGAACATCCAGCAGGGGGCGACTCCTCTGGCCCAATTTATATAGAAGTCTGTGAGAAAAGGAGCTGATATGTGAGCTCTGTGAACACCTGAGTGACGGTTTCTGGTCTCAGGTTTTGAGACTGACGCAAACTGAAACGTATTTTGTGAATTTTGCTCGTTCTTGGTGATATAACGGAGGATTGTGTGGGTCTGCTCGTGGGCTCACAGATGTTTGATGCGCAGTCGGGTTCAGGATTAAAATAAAGATTAGAGTTAATTTACAAAAGAGAATCTGCCACAGTCATCATGTGAGTGTGGAACCTTTGATAGCTGCGATCTCCAGGAGAAAACTGTTGTGTCAGCTGTTGTGTCAGCTGCCCTGCAGCACTTTGTCCGTGTTCACTGGATCTGAAGCGACACGTGTGCTTAAACTCGTCCTGACTTCCTGCTGCTCAGCATTTTGTTTCAGCTTTAACACAGGTCAGAACTTCCTTTGGAATCTGTCTGTTTTTAGGTTCCTTCAGTGTTTGTGATGCTCTGCAGACAGGGGGCGCTCACGCCCAGTGCAGCTGTTTTAATGGGACTCTCTGATTGGACCTTTAAAAACAGAAAGCCACTGCATGTCTGTAACATCACAAAAACCAGCATTAAGCGCTTACTTCCACCAGCCCTGCGGCGTGTTGGTGAACACACGTGTGCGCTGTTGCGTGTCCGCCCCCCCTCACAGATGGCCGGGTGGCGCTGAACGATTAAAAGCTTCATCAGCAGCTGCGAGGTCAGCCCTAGTGATGAGGTTACAGTGTGGAGACAGGAAGCCGAGCTCAGCCGTCGGTCGCTGTGATGGGCGTCGGTGTCAGAGCTGCTGACTTCTTCTTCTTCCTTTCTCAGTCTGGCCATGCATCCTGATAAGGTCCAGGTGGCGACAGGTCAGGTGGGGAAGGACCCGTACATCTGCATCTGGGACACGTACGCCATGCAGACGGTCTCCATCCTGCGGGACGTGCACACCCACGGAGTGGCCTGTCTCGCCTTCGATGCTGACGGACAGGTAACGACGTCACCGACACGCTAACCGCCCGTCTCAGATTAAAGTTTTAACAATTAAAAAATGAAATCTTTGATTTTGAATTGAAACTTTATCAGCAGCTTTGTATGAGTCACGCCTCAGAATAATCCTTCTGTGTCTGACACCAGCTGCTTTAGCTCCTCCTGCTCTAAGATAACTTTCCTGTCATTGGCTGCACCTCATCAACAGACACAAGCAAGTGGGCGGGGCTTTTGGGGCTCTCTGTGACATCATACTGACCTAGTGTTCAGAGATTACTGCAAACACTGAGCTCGTTAGTCGGAGCAGGAGATGTGACAGGAAGTGAGGCGAAGGCGAGTGGGTCACCTTTACGTTTCATCTTAAAGGTATCATCCAATCACGTTCCCTCCTTGTTTCTGTTGCCATAGCGACTGGCCTCGGTCGGCCTGGATGCCAAGAACACGGTGTGCGTCTGGGACTGGAGAAGAGGGCGCGTCCTCGCCACGGCCACCGGACACTCGGACAGAGTACGTGCCGCCGCACACGCGTTTACCTGCAGGCGTACCTGAGGAGTAACGCTGCTCTCGCTCTTCCCGCAGATCTTCGACGTGTGCTGGGATCCGTTCCAGGCCGGCCGGCTGGTCAGCTGCGGAGTCAAGCACATCAAGGTAGCACCTGGGTGGTCACGTGACGCAGCTGTGCCGCGATCAGCCGCACATCGTCCCGCCTGCAGTGGACGATGTGCGGCTGAGAGTACAGGAGACGTTTAAACCATGATTCTGACCTCTGTCACGTACAGAGCTGTGCAAAAGTCTTGAGCTGCTCCTCACTCTGACTTTGCTTCAGCAGCATCAGGTTCAGGTGTTGACAGGATAAAGACATGCTGTGGAAGAGAGACAGAGGTTAATAACAGGTATGATTCAATGCAGAGAGGTCTGTTAATACATAGTGAGTGAAGAAGAAACACCAGTGCATCATGGGAATCCCCAGCAGCCTGTTGCAGCATCACTACGGGAGGATTCAGGGTCTCAGCTTGTAAAAACTGATTCTTATTTTCCTGCGACATATAAAGAAGTGGGGGGGGGCTCAAGACTTTTGCACAGTCCTGTGTGGGGTTGAAATGGTCCTGCTACTGCTCGCCATCGATAACCTACTCAGCACCACTTCCTGTGCTAATCTGCGCCCTCTCTGTGTCCTGTGTGCGTAGTTTTGGACTCTGTGTGGGAACGCTCTGACTCCGAAGCGAGGGATCTTTGGGAAGACGGGCGACCTGCAGACCATCCTGTGCGTCTCTGCGGCCAAAGACGAGCTCACGTACTCCGGCGCTCTGAACGGGGACGTTTACGTGTGGCGAGGAATCACGCTGATGAGGACCGTACAGGCTGCACACGGGGTACACACACACACACACACACACACAGGTGGAGCTCGAGAGCATCCACCCTGATGGAAAAGCTTCAGCAGGAAACATGATTTCTCCTCCAGGTAACGTGAGGATAAAACATGGCCGACCTAACCCCAGCAGGTGATTAACCCACAGCTGCACCTGCTGGGAAGGGGCTGATGGGAAATGTGCTGTTCTTCTGCAGGCGGGGATCTTCAGCATGCACGCCTGTGAGGAAGGCTTCGCCACCGGAGGGCGAGACGGCTGCATCAGACTGTGGGACGTGGACTTCAAACCCATCACGAAGATCGACCTGAGGGAGGCGGAGCAGGGCTACAAAGGTCTGATCTGGTCCCCTCTGTCACTCAGGGGTCACTCAGGGGTCACACCGGGGTCACTCAGGGGTCACTCAGGGGTCACTCAGGGGTCACTCAGGGTCACCTCTGCTTTGGTTTTGTATTTGATCAACCACAGCGGCAAAAAACTCGTCAGTGCTTCACAGGAAGTGAATCTATCTGAGTCTGACCTGCTGCTCACCTGGCTCTGGCAGAGACGCCGGATTCCCAAATCACACACGTGATCACAGTTATTATTAATAATAATAGTGAATGTTATTTAGAAGCGCCTTTGAAAACAGCCAAGGACACAGGTGCAGCAAATAAACAGGCATAAAAACGTGAAATATACACAATAATAAGCAGATAAAACTTTAAGATCATGATTTATATGGAGTTTTACATGGGTGGGTTTAGAGGTTGGACTTGAACAAAGGGAGTGAAGTGAGGTCGGGGGGGGGGAACAAGACGAGAGGAAGGAAAGGAAAGAGATGCATGGTGGAGTATTTTAACATGAACGGGAGATTTGACCGGGAGCCAGTAGGGATGGGGAAAAATGGATACTGTGTAGCATGGTGATATTTTGTTTGCTAATAATGTATGGATACAGGGACAGCAGAAATCGATACTTTGTTACAAAAAGGTTTTTGTGCTCTGACTTCAGAGCATGTTGATCCTTTTTCTGAGCAAGAATCCTGACATTCCTTCACTGTCCAAATGTGTTTAACTTTGGCAGCAATAAACATGACAGTTTACTTATTTTAATTTAAGACATGTTTTATTTTAATTAAGTTTAAAACTTTTTTATTTAATGTAAAATTATATTTTGTTTTAATTTACTTTCAAATTCTTCAGTTGCTGAAGGGGCTGCATAGTTTTCATAAACTGCATAGTTCAGAATAGCTATAATTGTACCAGATGGTTGATTCAGTTAAGTTGGACTAGACTGTAATACAAACCGTTCAGTTTGTCAACAATAAAACTGAAATGAGAGAAAGACTGAGTGTGAGACTTTGATATTAGAGAAAATGAATATTGATAAAGTTTACCTTTATGTACAGAATCTGAATATCGCAAAATATTTTTAAAAATTGCAATAATATCGTATCGTGCGTTAAGTATTGTGATAATATCGTATCGTGGGATGTGTGGCGATTCCCACCTCTAGGAGCAGTGAAGCTGCTGCAGGAGGCGTGCTGTGGTAGAGTCTCGTGATAACACGGCAGCAGAGCTCTCGACACGTTGAAGCTCACTCATGGATCTTTGTGTCACAGTATCGATCTGAGACGTAGCAACGTGTCCAGCTTCTGTTTCTGTTAAATGTTCTGTGATCGGTGGCGCCCGTCCCAGAGTTTCCTGTTTCCTGTCTCAGGTCTGTCGATCCGCAGCGTGTGCTGGAAGGCCGACCGGATCCTGGCCGGGACGCAGGACAGTGAAATCTTCGAGGTGATGGTCCGAGACCGGGACAAACCGGTTCTACTGATGCAGGGTCACAGCGAGGGCGAGCTGTGGGCGCTGGACGTGCACCCCAAACAGCCCGTCGCCGTCACCGGGAGCGACGACCGCTCCGTGAGGTCGGTCCGACTGCACCACAGGCTGCTCACGCTCACCTGGTGTTCTCCTAACCTGTGCTCACCTGTGTCTCAGGCTCTGGAGCCTTCCTGACCACACGCTGCTGGCTCGCTGCAACATGGAGGAGTCGGTTCGAAGCGTTTCCCTCAACAACGACGGTTCTCAGCTCGCTCTGGGCATGAAGGATGGCTCGTTCACGGTGCTGCGTGTCAGGTGACCTCTCTTACCTGTCGATAAGATTGTGTACAGGTGTGTCTCAAATTAAACTGTTGGCGGCTTCGCGCTTCCTGAATCTCTATGGTAACGGTCACAGGTGATGGACCCGCTGATCACAGTCGGGTCCTCTTTGTGATGACGACCACCTCCTGCTATGTGACAGCGGCCTTTAAGCAGGTTAAACGTAATTGGCGTGTGCTGCTGCGGTTCTTAGAAATGGGCGGGGTCAAAAGGCTAAGATGGTGGTTTACCACCCGTGCTCGGGGTAGTGAGGCGTGCTGATGCGTGTGTTTGTGCAGGGACATGACAGAGGTCGTGCACATCAAGGACAGGAAGGAAGTGATCCATGAGCTGAAGTTTTCTCCGGATGGTTCTTTCCTGGCGGTCGGGTCCAATGACGGGATGGTGGACGTGTACGCCGTCGCACAGCGGTACAAGAAGGTGGGCGAGTGCAGCCGCTCCGCCTCCTTCATCACCCACCTGGACTGGTCGGTCGACAGCCGCTTCCTGCAGACCAATGACGGCGCTGGGGAGCGGCTCTTCTACAGGATGCCAGGTACACAGAACACCTGAGACTCATGTCCTCGCGGTTTCCACAGCGGTGGTCCTCGGGACAAACGTCCCAACGACAACACGAGGTGGAGCTCACCTGTCCTCACCTGGGACCAGTTGATGGTGCAGATTTGTGGGTCTTACCTGCTTCCTTTCCCTGCAGCGGGAAAGCTGGTTCCTAAAGAGGAGGCGAAAGGGATTCACTGGATGACGTGGACCGGAGTCGTTGGGCCGGAGGTCAACGGCATCTGGGTCAAATACTCCAACGCCACCAACGTAAACTCCGTGGACGCCAACTACAGCAGCGCTGTGCTGGTGGCCGGCGATGACCTCGGCCTCGTCAAGCTCTTCAGGTTCCCCTGCCTGAAGAAAGGTGAGTGATGCATGCCGACCCACAGAGTCCGGCTGAGGGGTGGAGCTCTGAGGTCGTCTGAGTCACTGGACGCGGAGTTAGGGCGTGGACAGAATAGGTTTGATGAGGATGTTTCAGTCGTGCGTTCTTATTCTTGTGTTTCTATCACACAGGGGCCAAATTTAAGAAGTACATTGGTCACTCCGCCCATGTGACCAACGTCCGCTGGTCCAGCGATCTGCAGTGGGTCATCAGCACCGGTGGTGCCGACCACGCCGTCTTCCAGTGGAGGTTCCTGCCCGAAGGCGTGATGAACGGTGTTCTGGAGCCCCTCCTACAAGGTGACGCAGAGCTTACTTTAGTCGCAGATGGTGACGGCGCCGACCTCCCAGAAACTTTCAGCAGTTAAACTAAATCAACAAACTGAGCTTGACTCTTTTATCTGAAGTCTTTGCAGGTCGTAACGGTGCGTTCACACCGACAGAAGCGACCAGAGCTGCAGGTTTAAGGTCATGGAGGAGCGCGATGAAGCGCGACTGGGGTTCCCGCGAAACTGCAGAAGCAGATTAGTGTCACGAAAACGCTTTTCTGATGCGCAAACAATTAGTGCGACTGATGCGATGGAAAATACGC